CTTACTCACAATTGCTGTGTATTATTGGAATGTTATATTCCCTCATATTCTGTATAGAAGGTATTTATTCGCATTGCTAGAAGTGAAAACAGTTCATCACAAACTGTACACATTACATTCAGAGCTTGAATACGAGTGTTACGAGGCAGCACTGCATGTATCACATATTGCATATCAACCAAGAATGAATGAATGTACATTTACATGAAATGTACATACATCTACATGAAATGTACGCCTTAGACTCCAAAGAAATCATCATAGTCCCATGTATTGTTTTTGAAGAGGTGCTAGATGCTTCACATGACTAATGTTTTGAGACTGGCATCAGAATGCCATCCCAGAAAAAGAATACAAATAACCAAGGTATACAATTACAATGTCATTTTTTTTTTTTTGGGGGGGGGGGGGGGGGGGGGGTCAGAAATTTGTCAGAGTGTGCATCGACCAGGCTAGAAATATCCTTTGACCCATGTGCTAGTCATGTTATTTCTACCTACATGTATTTGTAATAGATGTAACATATAAAGGGACTCTGATGAAAAGCATTTTAAAGCCTATCTGCACTACTTTGTCCAGGAGGGATTAGACCTCCATGCGTGGTCACTGACAGGTAGTTATCTCATTAAATCAGCTCTCAATTCACAGAAGAAAAAGGGGACCATCGGGTACCGCTTAGGCATTGTTTAATATATAGAGGGCCCAAGTAGCTACAAGCAGTCCATTCCCGCTTTAAGACTTAGGGACAACACTCCAATTTTAAGAAATAGAGGGTGGAGGGAGTGTATTGATTGAAGTGCCTCATAAGAGAAACAAATTAATTCTGTTTTTTTTCAGGGGGGGGGGGGGGGGACTATTAACCTTAATACCTACCGGTACTTACACTCCTAGGAGAGATATTTTGTCAATGTAGCACATGGTTTGAATTATCTTATGAGCCTGTTCTAGTCTAAGTGTAGTGTATGTAGAAGGTTGAACTGTAACAAAATTCACCTCGGTGTCGTAATACAGGAGTACTGTTTCAACAAGCTAAATCAAATTCTAAATATCCTTGATCAACTGCTCTGGGTTATAACGATGGGATTATGAATGCAGGTGGCAGCAATGGAAGAGGGTGAAACGATAACTAAAGAGTCTAGATGGATAGAAGATTCAAGATAAAAGTGTTACTGTCCGTATTAGGTGCAAAATGTGGAATCCTGTTGTCATTACCTGCAATCAGAATGTTCAAGAATCTTAGCAGGGCCTACATACATGTCACAAGAGACTATGGTGGTAGTTGTCGCAGGCATCGGTTGTTTTTCCACCAGTCGTAAAAGGGAGTTTCAATCCATTACATTGTAAGAAACGCAATGCAAATGAACCACTCTTACTTGCATATTTATTCATGATCATTCAACAAGTTGTATGCAGCATGTTTTGCGTGGGTTTCCAATACATGAGTAGAAACATAACAAATGAATATACCAGCTAATTTCCTGCACAATCAGCCACAGTAGGAGACTCTGGGTATTCATAAGTAAGAGGATTGAATAATCACAATAATTGAAATCAAAGGCCTGAATTCATAATGGAGGTTTAACATAACCCATGGATTAAACCCTCATTCACATACCCCATGGTTTAAAAATTAGTGCAAAATAAGCGTACCTTGCCTTGCGCAGGTCTAATATTGGACCTCTGAGTGTGTCGCGCTTATTTTGCGCTAATTTTAGACCATGGGTTATGCAAATGAAGATTTGAATTTAAACCTTCTTTGTGAATTTGGGCCAATATGTCTGTAAATTAAGATCTTCTTTACTGTACATAAAAAGATATATGAGCTAAGACAGTGAACAGTGAAAATACAAGATTATCTCAAATTATTTCTCATAATAACAAATATAAGCGGAAGTTTCTTAACTTCCCAGCAAGTAAGCCTCTGAGGTTCTACATATCACAGTAACCAGGGGAGGAGATTTTTTTTCTAGTCTAGTCTTTTTTTGCACTTGTGTATGTTTGTGTATTTTGTATTTATACAGTGTGAGTGCTGTAGCCAATATATTTGTGTATCACAATTCCACATATGTTTTAAAACTGAAGCTTGAAAAACAAAACACAGTTTACTCATAAGAGTATAATTGCATTGGAACAAATCATACACAGCTATGTTTGTAGAGAGTGAGTTATAATAGAACAATTATAGTCGGAACTAACTCAAAAACCAAGACAGATATATATATAGTAAGAAGAAAAACAAAACAAGTTTTGATATTATTACAAGTTGATGAGTAACCTCACTATTCATTGCATAATTCTAAAAGCCTTCAATATAATAGTAAATACAATGTTCATGTAGTATACTATTCAACACAGTGTGGTATTATTTTCATGTAGTTGAACTAGTGTAGTAATTTGTGTACTATTAACATGTATACTATTCACAATGAAGTCATAGTGCATTTAGCAATCTTCCAAAAGGATGCTTTTAAATTTTATGCAAAAGTAATTTAATTCAGTATATCAGACATGTCGATCAGATGCTAGTAGATGATAATGAATTCATTTTTTATTTTTATTTGTAACTGCTTATTTGTGAGTCAATGTCATTACAAGTTTAGGTTAATTTTATATTCCAGTGCATTTTGTTTTATACAAATGAATTGAAAATACATGTATATGTATTACTTAACCTTTTTTTCACCCCTTATATATTTTTCTGTTGTAACACATGTTCATTTCATTGTGGTGATTGTGATATGGTTCTTTTAAGTTATTTTGTAATGCAATAATAAAAATTGTTTCTAGACTTTTTTCCCTTTCAATTGAGATTGTTATCCTGTGTTTGTCTTGTTGTTCAATGACTTCAATCTTTTCACTTTCATCACCATGATATACTGTGTAACCTGTTTCGGAAGGGTTTTATTATTATCACATATTGTTATAGAATCATGAAGTTAACATACTGGTAATACAATAATAAGCCAGCAATGCATGTAAAGACATATGTAGCCTGTAATATCTGTGTCCTTATCTTCTGCAAAATTATTGCACATGAACATAGGTTATACAAGTTTAAATTGAAATCCATCCTTGATAGTAATCTACTCTAGAACAAAGCCAAAAAAATCAGAGAAGCATACTGGTGAGAGTTTGAATGTAATCAGGCAAAAAATGAGAAAGTCATGATTTTTTGAAAGTTGCAATCACTATAGGTATGTCCTCTTCAAATTGGCTAAATCAGTAATGTCCATGTTATGTAGTGTAGGACAACTTTCCAATTTGTTCCAACACACAAAATGACCAAAATTTCAATTTTTCAAAAAAAAATTATATGTTCTTTTTAGAGGACCTGTAATGACATACCCTCCATAATATATTTTGAGTAGTGCCCCAAGGGTGAATATAGAAATTAGTGATATTTTTGTACATAACAAAATAGAAAGTTATCCGCCACTACGTCACAATCCACTGACAATCTTGCGATCTTGATTGCGATATAGTGATCTCATACTTAAAATTTATTCCAAACTTTTGCCATTATGTTTCTCTGATTTTTCTGCTTTCATTCAAATGAACTCATTACAAGACTTTGACTAGCCAGGGCACACTTTCACAAAACTATCAAAAGTGCAAGTTCGCCGACAAACCATTGGAACAAGTGTATTAAATTTAACACACATTTCAATGGAATGTCTGTGAACTTGTACCCCTGACGGTTTCGTGAAAGTTGTGAAACGATGCCCAGTTACCCAATTCTTTTTAAAGTAGTTTGCTATTAGGGTTAGATTTCCCTGTAACTCTCAAAATAACATAATTTCCTTGGGACCATGAAGTTTGTTGTAATAGGTTTTGACCCAACAACATCACTTCTGCTATTGCAAGTGTCGATAATCCCCCCCCCCCTCAAGAAAAAAACAAGCATACACACACACACAAAAGAGACAAAGGACAAATTCATACATGGATATTTTTCTCTTTATTGTCTCTCTTTGTAACTGATAAAGAACATGTGATACAAACATAAAAGAGGCTTTTTCATTTGGGACATTCCATGAGATTGGTTTAATTTTGTGACATACTAAAAAAAGGTTTAAAAAACACCAACAAACTAGTAAATCTCTTGCAAACCAAAGAACATTCATGGTACATGTTTTATAGTAGCTATCATTCTAGAGTTGCACAAACTTGTATTTTTGTTCCCTCAACATAATGAATTGTCCCAATTTGGCAATTTGACATTTATCTCTTATTTAAAACTTTCAACAAAAAAATAATTTCATGAACAACATAAAGTACAGTATATCAAAATAACAAGGTAATTATGGTCCTTGAATTCACATGAACGTAAATGTTGAAGTACATGGATATATTTTAGAGAAAAAAATACAGCTACTGAATTAATCATAATCTATGAAAATTGAAAAGATATTTTTTCTCATCATCTAAATAAAATCTGTCAACCAAGAGCTGAAACATGTGACCACACCCCCTTTTTTTTTTTGGGGGGGGGGGGGGGGCAGAGGAACTACGTGTAATTTCAAGATTATAAAATTCAATTCAATTCTTGTTTTCAATGACATTCTGACAAAAGGATTATAATTAATAGAAGCAGAAAAGGCAAAAGAAAAGAAGATTTATAATAAAGTCATCAATTTTAAAGGTGTAATCAATCAGACACAATTTGGAAACTCTGTGATTTCTCTTGCAAGGTACCCTCCCATTTAACCTCTGTACCCCCAACAAATGTATAATTTCCCTAGAGAAAAAAATGTTGCCAATTTGTTTTTCACTGCTGACGACTTTGAAAGTTTATAACTTTCCTATTTTTAATCGGATATTTCTTATACTTTCACTATTAAAATCATTTCTCTCATTTTTCTGCTTTTTATTTAAACCATCTTAATATCAGGTTGGACTTCCCTTTAAGTATTTAAAAGCAAAACAAACATAAAACAGATATCATTTACAAGAAGAGCTAACAAAAACATATGCAAATCCAAACTGCTTGCATTCTACAATTTTTTTTCCAGTTTATTTAATATATCTACGTATGTCAAGTGAATAATGATGCTCAAAACTCTTCTCATTAAAATGTTGTTTTGCTGTCGAGAAAAAGAAAAGAAAAGAAGAGCTAACAAAATGGCAAATTAAGGCAAGTTTCAGTTCATCAAACTGGTCAAGGAATTTACAGGGCTCTCTTAGCTGCTTTTGATGTTGATGTTTTACTGGCTTTTATTAATCTAAATGAAAACCACGTCACCAAAATCGTTTGTAAAGACAAAAGCAATGAGCAGAATGCATGAACTGTGTATAAACATAGAGATTTACATTCACAGCTCGGAGGTGCTGAAGCCTCAAAACCCCTACCCATTTTAAAGGGTCATTTTTGCGGATTTTTTTCTCGAAGTAAAGCCCATTTTTCATGCTTCTTGGTAGTGAAATTGTTATAAAAACTAACTTTCATTGAAAATAAAGTCTTGACACATTTTCCTCTTAGGATTCATTTCTTCAACTCAAATACTGCATTTCAAACCTCTCTTTTGAGTATTACATCACAATTCATGTTTAATACTCTACTAAGTTGAAAGAACAGTAACGCAAAATAAATAATCTTTAGATATCCTGATCATCAAATATATTTTCTTTTGAGTTATCTTATATCATCATGAGTTTCCCAGCAAGGGTTGTGCAGCGCCCTCTCTGGCCAGTTTGTCTGCTCTCTCGTTTCCATACACGTTCTTGTGACCTGGGACATATTCCTGTCAAATAATACATCAAAAGAATAATTAAAGTATATGTAACTGTGTCTTTTATCTTTCATCAATTTACTATCCAATTCCCTGTTCAGTTTGTCTAGATATTATCATATGAAAGAAGTGATTTTGTTTTCTCATAATCAACTTGATATCAATTTCTCTCTCAAATTTAATCTGCTTCTTCAGGTTGAATAAATATACTTGTTTTCTAATCCATTTGATATCCAGTTTTTCTGTTGAGTTTATCTAGCTAATCTGTGTCTCATTAAAAAGAACAAATTTTGTTTTGTTCTCACCCATTTGACATCGAGTTCTCTGTTGAGTTTATCTAATTTGACCAGATCTTCTTTATTAATGACATCAGTCTTCTGTGCCGTCTTCCAGCCATTCTTTTTCCATCGGTGAATCCAATCTGTAACACCTTTTATAGCAATAAAAGGAAAATGCAAGAAAGCTTTAGGTAACAGAAAAGCTTATAATCATATAGGGAAACATACTAAAAGAGATATTCAAGACAAAAGTTACACATTTCTTTCACTATGTATAAAACACAATTTTAAGATGGTAAAGAGAATGGCTTTTGCTGAAATACATCAAATGAAACAATAATGATTTGCTTGATTGCTCACAGGCATATCCCATGGCTACGGTAGTAATTTAACCCTCAAAATTTTTCCACATTCAGTGAATGTCATAAGTAGTACTCATAGTATTTAAATGCATTTGTGTTGTAATGTCTAAATTACTGCAGACATTAACTTTATAGAATTGTTTAATTGAAAGAGAGAGAGAAAGAGAGAGAAAGAGGGAGAGAGAGAGAGAGAGAGAGAGAGAGACAGAGAGAGAAATGGTCCACAAACTGGTAGACATATATCTTTCTCACATTTGTATTCAAGATAGTTTAAAAAGACAACGAGATAAAATAATTGTGTGGGAAAAAGGAAGTTGAACAAATGATACTTACAGTTGATTGTGTATTTGCTGTCTGTGTATAATGTCACTTTCCTTCTTTTATGGTGTTCATTGATCTGTTCTAGTGCTCTCAAGGCTGCCTACATGGGGGAAAAGAGGTTAAAGATAAAGGTGAGTTCTGGTAAAAAAAAAAAAAAAAAAAAAAAAAAAAAAAAATTCTCACAGAATCAAACAAAACTTACACTGAATGTTCAAGATTACAAATAAATGTCATTTGCCAAACGATTTTGGTAGAAAATGTGTACTGGCCGAGTAATGAGCATAGATCCTGGGGCATAGATAGATTAGGAAACCAAGGTTAGTAGCCTCGACACCATTTGTGTAGTCCCATATACATCTTTCTGTGTACCGTGCTTGTTACTTCACCAAGACTGGGCCAAATTTATTATGATTTTGATGACTCCGGAACTTTGCAGTACACACCAATGCTTACATGCTACATGATCAACTTTTTCTGATCCATTCCACACTTTTTTTCTCACAATGCAATCGGTTGACCAGAACTCACCTTTATCTTTAAACATGTGTTTGATACCCTTTTCTTGTCATATATCATTCAATAATGGGGAAAATTGAAGACAAAAGAAGAGAGAAGCAATACACAGAAAGAGGAAGAGATAGAGAGTGAATGGCAGAGAGCTACAGAGAGAGAGAGAGAGAATAGGGGAGGTGGAGGAGGAAGGAAGAAGGAAGAGAGAAAGAGAGAAAGAGAGAGAGAGAGAGAGAGAGAGAGAGAGAGGGAGAGAGGGAGAGCATAGACTATGAGGAATTCTAAGCCAAATTAAAAGTAATGTGGAAAAAGACATAAAAATAGTACATACAATTTTGAAGAAAAAAAAAAAAGTTTTTTTCTTACTGTAAGCTCTGCTCTCTGATTGGTCTGTTTTCCTTCTAATCTAGCGCTGGTATTGAGCGGATGATTATCACCCCAGTAAACTCCTAATCCTGCCTTTGCTCCACTGAATCCATTATGACTGCACGCTCCATCTGTATACACTACCAGATTGTCTGATCATAAAACAAAATCAAAAAGAAATTTAAAGGGAAAGTCCACCCCCAAAATAAGTTTGTTTCGATAGAGGCAGAATAATAAGAAAATCAGGTGAGTGAAAGTTTGAGCAAATTCTGAATGAAAATAAGAAAGTTATGAATTATTGAAGTTGTGATCAATCAAATACAAATTGGCAACTCTGTGACTTATTATACGAGCTCTCCTTCATTTGCTTTGTGCATAATATTCCATAAAATCATGTTTTCTTCGTTATTGATGATGGAATATATATTTGTTCCTTGCAGGGGGAGTATAGAAACATATTTGCAATTATTTTATTTAGGGTGCATGTATGGTTGAAATTTTTCTTGAGGGAAAACGAAAATTTTAGATTTTTTTAGTACTGAGCAAATGGAAGTTGAGCTCGCATGATACGTCATAGAGTTGCCAATTTGTGTTTGATTGATCACAACTTCAAAAATCCTAACTTCCTTATTTTTAATCGGAATTTACTCAAACTTTCACTGACTTGTTTCTCTCATTTTTCTACTCCTATTAAAACTAACTTAATTTCAGGGTGGACTTCCCCTTTAAGAAAAGAACATAGAAATTTGCATACTTGTCAGGGTGTATTTTTTTATAATATCGATGTTCATTATTATTATTATTATTATCATCGTTTTTTGTTTTCCTCTTTTAATTACACTGGTGAAAAAAAGAAAATCATATCAGTTTTGAATGGTAAACATCCTGCTACTCACCAATTAAGGAAATATAGTGATTGTTTTTTCTTAGGGGTGGGGGGGGGGGGGGTCGGTTTACCAAAACCTTACAAGGGTTTTAACTTTAAGCTAGAAACCTTTGACTCGACATAATAAATATAATAGCCAGACTACAGCATTTAGGAGTTTATTATGTAGATGGAAGTTATCAATGCACTAAACTTTGAAATTGAATAACGATAGTCAGTTATCACAATGAGAATATACACTCTCTCTCAAAAAAAAACAAAAAAACTTTCATCATAGAAACCTGAAAATTTAATGACATTGACAATATTCAATGAATATTTAAGAGTAACCTCATCCTCTAATTAGGCCTTTAAGTGTGCCAACTGAAGACCAGATAATATTTGATGACTTTTCTTGCCCTGTGAAGAAGAAAATCAACTGCTTACCACTAGAGTATCCAGAAGTTGATGGTGCTGTTGAGGCTGATGCAGTACGTCGTTTCTTTTTAAGTGATGGGTCTACCGAGTCTGTTGAATACAAACGCTTAAGAGGAGCAGCGGAGTAAGACCGTTTGGAACTAGAAGCAGTTGAAGAGACACCTTTTGCCAGAAAAGAGCTCCATGGTTTTGGTGCAGAGCTGCATGATTTTGGTGCAGAGCTGCAGTCATTTGTTGCTTCCACAAAGTCCCAAGCCTCCGCTTCCGTCCCAAATTTCTTGAACTTGGCCCCAGGAAACCCTTTGACTTGAAGTTCACACTCACCCCTGCAATGAACAGTAAATAAAGATATGAAAGCACAGAACACAGCTTTAAAAACAGCTTTAAAGCTGGACTTGACAAACACTGGAAGAAGGAGCAGTATAATTCACCCTTCTTCCAGTAGACACTCCAATTATGACATTCCTGAATATATGACCCAGCAAGCAAGAAACAGATGTAAGATGACTATGGTGCAAGACCCGGAAGCTGGGACATCCCCCCCCCCCCTTTGAAGTTAGACCTGGAAGCTTGGCAGCAGGAGACGGCTTTCTTCCAGAAGCTTTGGTATTCAAGGTATTCAAGGTATAAAGGATAAACTCATGTAGATAAATCCTGTATAATGAATGGATATAATTAATAGCTAATCATGATAATTGATATCTCAACATTGGACTGTAACATGCTAGACCAAAAAATCAGTATACTTCGTTCAAGGATATATTCTGCCGAGACTACGTCTGGCTTCGCTGGCCGCATCTGTACAGAGACTGAAGTACATTGTATGGGGTAGTGGATTGGAGGGAATGGCTCGGTTTGGCTGGACCTAGATGAATGAGATGCCAGAAGTTTTTATTCCAAGACCAAGTGTGACTTTTAAAAGTGCAAACTGGCCAAAGCCATGATGAATGATGATGCTACAAATCATGATACCAAACATACACAGAGCTACCAAGTATCACGCATTAGGCGTGACATCACGCATTTCGAGGGTCTGAAAATGCTTTTACGCACGACGTGCGCGCTAGATTTTGAAAAAATGCTATACCTTATACATGTGTTATACCCTTGCACGCGCGTTCGCATTGCCGATCTTTGTACTTGGCGTCTCTGCATACAGTGCGTCAAACAGCGGCGGAGCTATAGACTCTACCTCAGTCCGGCTCTAGAACAGTTTTGCCAAAGTTATGTTGTTATTTTTGTTAAAATATCTCAAATACAGGGCTGCCAACTCTCAAGCAATCTGTGTGAGTCTTACGCAATTCACCCAATTCTCACGCTCTCACGCTGATCATAGGAATTCTCACGCTGAACCCCAAAAATAGAAACTAAAAAAAAAAATGTCTATTATATCGGATATTCAATATCCCTGCCAAAAGTTTCAACATTTTTTTAACCACACATGCGCAAAGCTAAAACATCAATGCAAATTGGTTTCGGTTTGCCGCGCAAAGACAAGATAGTGAATTGCGATTGGCTTATCCTGCGTGTGCGAGTGACGTCGTCACTTTACTATGAAGCGGGGTTTTTGTGCGAGACACGACAAGCGAGTGTCGATGCCATGGCCTGTCATCGCTGTACATCGCGCCCGGCCCCCAGCCCGGCCCGGCCCGGGTGGCTCAGTGTTTGCGATCGGATAATGGGTCTGGGCCGTCCTCTTTAGCCCTCTACGACCAGATCGGCCATATGGTACAGTACTTCAGGCTTCAGCCGGTACAGGTGAGTTTAAACTCTTGTCTTGAAATATTGAAATTCATGGTTTCGATCGTTTATACGAGAGTAAAAATGATTTTGGAAGGGTGCTTGTATATAATTGATATGGCAGTTATATACTAACTATGTTCTGTGTATTCTATTGAGAATGAAATTTTGATTTAATTTGTTTCCAAAAAGAGTGTGTTGAGAGTGTGACTGTGTCTGAGGTTCAACTGCTAAGCTTATAAAACAGTTGATTTGGAATAATGCGCTTACAAATGTGGAAGTTTGTATTTTTTCAAGGTCAGTGTACTTCATGAAATCAATTAACCTATTTGAATCCTGCCTTATGTATTTGTGGAATCAGGGTTGAAGTATGCACCAGATTGCACCATTTCTATTGCAAAATTGTAAAAGCTCCCTACCGTGGAAGGGGGGACACCCCCCTTCCACACCATCCCCCTCGGGCTTGGTCGCTTCACTCCCTCGCAATGTCTCACTCAAAACTCTTTCCGAAGGTTGGCAGCCCTGTCAAATAGTTGAAATACCACACAACATGAAATCACAAACTCTCTTGATTTGAATCCACTAAATTTTTTTTAGAAAACGGATAATTGTTAGACCAGCTAGAGTCTAACGTTAGACCTAGCTTCTAGAGTCTACGATATTAATATTAGACCCCTAGACCTCTAGTCAAAATTTATTTAGATCTAGATCTAGATCTAGTCTTTTTAATTTCAGATTTATAAAAAATTAATTCAATCAAGAATTCAAAACAGAATTATTATTAATTAGGCCTAAGTTAGATCTACTCTCACTCTCAGTCATGATTATGGATATCTGACACCTGGTTTTACATCATATTTGACAATGGGTGGGCCAATACATTACCATGTTGGAAAGACTCCCGTCTGTTTGCCTCTTCCTACGGCATAGAAAAAACGTCCCATGCTTTTAGCGTGAAGGCAGGTCAGTGAAAGCACCTTGCGGATCATGAATATTAATTAGGTTACTTGATTCATTGTAATTTAAAATATTTACTACTCGAAATTAGATCCCGACTGACAATCAAAACAATTGTTACATCTAGTTCGGCAACTTTTTGTTATATTTTTTCAAGGATATAACATATGTCATCAGGGACTAGAGAATAACAATACACCCAGTAGTTTTATTAAATAAATATATTAAATGCAAATATTTATAAAAAAATGTTTTTTGTAATTTGTATGAAACATACAAAATTAATTTGTCATTTAAAGTTTAAAAACTAATGCATCAAAGCAAACAAAATAAAGTAAACGCCTTAAAAGATTCGGACTTGCCAATTTGAAGAATGAAATAGTAGATGATCAATATGAATTGTCTCCTCGGTCTTTTTCCAAGTACCGTCATTTGTAAGTCGTAGCGAAACCCTCTATGATAATTGTAAATCTTTTTATATGAAATTTTACCAAGAATAAAAGGTCAAAACATGAATAAACGTATTAATATGTTTCTTACCCTCAATATTACTTGAAAAAATAGTGGAAATTATTTTGATTATGGATGATGAATGTGGATGTTATTGAAGGTGCACTGCATTCATCACTCACAATTTCCACCGTAGACACACCGGGCAATGCAATGCCGATGTATTTTATTTTTTTAGACGGCCGAGTAGAGTGTAGAAATGAAGAAGTGGTATTGATATTAATCCAAGGAGATTGGTGTGGATTGGAGTAAATTGCACTCAGGGTATTAGTTTTTGTGTTATTTCATTTATTTTGTATTCCAAAATGTCCTGTAAATATGACAAATTCTGGCATTCCCGTAAAATATGCCACCAAATAATAGTGAAATAATCATAGTGCTAGTCTACCCCCAAGACCCAGGCCATGGCTTTATGCATGTCGTGCCACTGTTTTTTTTTGTCTGATCGGACCAACTTTTATATAATAATACACTGTACATTGTGGGTGTGGATAGCCTGGGAGAATGCAGAGAACATGCTCGTGATCAGGCCTCTCGCCAAGAAATTAAAAATTAAAATTTATTTTTTACAAGTAGTCTACTGTCTAGTCTAGATCTAGATCTAGATCTAGATTACAAGTAATTTGATGAATCTTTAATACCATACCTACCAACCCTTACGAATAATTCAGAATATTCTGTTTTGGGGGGATTTCAAGGCCAGAAAATCCGGAATTTTCTGATTTTTCACCAAAAAAAAAAAAAAAAATGATTTTTTTTTTTTTTTTTTTTTTTTTTAAGAACGCGTGGCGCTAGGTCGGGCCCATCAGGAACGCGTGGCGCGCGCACCACGGGTTATCTGTGTACGCGAGGGCCATGCTCGTGATGCTTTATGCTCTCTTCTGTGAAATTGGGGTTTTAAAGTTATTTCAAAGTTTAAACCCACCTCTCGGTCTTGTGCTCAGTCAGGCCTTTAATTTCAATATTTTTAGGGCAAGGCCACTTTTCTGTAGGGCACATTCCTATATTACAGCACAAATAGGAAGAATTGGAAAGGGCACACAAAATCTCCAAGGCCAATGAGAGGGGCATTGAGGCCAATCAAAAGGGCATCCACGGCCATGGCCTTGGTGGCCTTGGATTAATTTAAGCCTTGCTCAGTCATGCGTCGTGGCCATGTTGAAAGGAAATCCAACCTTAAGTTAACTAGACAATGCAATGAGCTACTAAAATCTGTAACTTAAGTAAAAGAAAACAGAAAAGCCGATCATTGAAAAAATAAAAGAAATCGACAAAAATTAAAAAAAGATTTAAATTTAAATTTAAATTTTTTTTTTTTTTTTTTTTGGGGGGGGGGGGTGGAGTTTTAGTCATTATTAAATCAGTACTGTTGAGGAGCGCTGTTCCGAAAATGAGGATCGCCCGCACAAACAAAGATATCTTCGTAAACATGGACAAATCACATTAAAAAAAATAAGGATTGCAGACGTTTTTTTCTTCTGTGGATGTAGGGTTCCAGATCCGCGCGTTGGCAATGCGAAAAGCAGAGTCTGCGTATTAAAATACTCCTTTACTGTCTTTCCACTTTTATGGGTTGTCCGTCTTTCTGAGGATTCTTCATTAATAACATGGAAGTCTCTGTAGGGCAAGGGTCATTTTTGTGTCGCCAATGCGCGGATCGGAAATATGAATCGTCCACAAAAATGCGTACGCTGCTCGCCCCTTCCGGCACCCACATGAGGTTTTGTTTACTTACTCTCAGAATGAGGTTAGGTCTAGATGGTGAATATTCAAAGTGAACAGTCAAAAAGAGGTATCTTTTGGAGGAATCTGCTCCATCACATTTCCAAGTTGAGCCAAGGCAGGCTTGGCATTAAATTTACACAAAGAAAATTGGTCTTTCCTTAGGATAGAGCAATTTTCTTAGTACCTCTAGATCTAAATACAACTTTAAAACTTAAATTTTATCTTTTTACTCTTGTTTATCTATTGTTATTTTTTTTTTTTTTAATGTTTTTCTTTTGGGGTTTGTTGATGGTGTCTTTCAGATTTAAAACTTATATTGTACAAATTTGTTCATCTGTTGTGTTCACCTTTCACATTGTATACATGCATACAGTTCCTCCATCTACCTTTGTTTATATCTGGTTAACTGTCCATTCTAATTCTTTGTAGCCAATTAGTTACCATGGCTTCTGAAGTTTCGCTTTTAGACAATATCAAAGCACAGAAGACTTTTCTTTACTTGTACAGACATTGATAAAGTCTTGCAAAATGGTTATCTGTGTACATTAGCGATTTGCTTACCCGTACCTCCAATTCAGCTCGGAGAATAACTTGCAACTAGGCTACTATACTATTGATCTTGACAAAAGTTGATTCCTCCGTGGTAGTTTCAATCACCACCAAGCTCTATCCCTGGACTCCACAGGGTAACCCTAATCCCAAACTTAATCTAAAACCCATTTGCAAATCTAACCTTCATCTTTTTTATGAAATAAGGGCAATTGTTGGTGATGTATCACCTCAATTTTATTTCATTTGTTTGTTTTTAGCGTGACATCTTGAGGCCAAGATGGCGGTGTTTAATGCAGGTGCGAAGGTGATCAAGCCTCAGGGCGAAAGTGCAGACCCATTTGAACTCACAGTTTCACAGGTAAGATCATATGTATGGTCCTTCAGACTCTAAGGCCTAAACAACAAAAAAATATGTTGTATTGCCCTCTGCGACCGACCCAAAAATCTTGAAATCTACGGTTGGCTTTTAATTTTTTTTTTTTTAAACCTTTTGTTTTAGAAAAAAAGTATTAAAGCATTAAAAACTGATAAATTTCGGCACAAAGAGGGAGAAAAAAAATGCGGACCGGTGACGTATTGACTCGACCACGACACCTCTAAGTATTTGTAAATGCAACTTTCAAAATTGAATTCTATATTTTACTTTGTTTAGCTATTGTTCATTATTTATTTTTTAAATATTTTTGGTGTCTTTCAGATTAAAAATGTATATTGTACAAACTTGTTTATCTGTTGTGTTCACTGTTCACATTGTATACATGCATACAGTTCCTCAATCTACCTATGTACATATCTGTCCATTCTAATAATTCGTAGCCAAGTTACCATGGCTTCTGAAGTTTCGCTTTTGGACAATATCAATATCACAGAAGACCTTTCTTTACTTGTACAGACATTGATAAAGTCTTGCAAAATGGTTATCTGTGTACATAAGACTAAACTAGCTTTATTTAAGTGCAACAACAATGAATAGGGGTTTACTGGTGACATTTCTTATTAATAGAAATCTTCATGGTAATTTTCTATATTCCTTTTGCACTTTCCAACGTTTGTTCATGATTTGTGCCATTGTTAAAGATTTATGTAATATTGGATGGCCTTGAGTGTGATACAAGAATAAATTGCTCAAGCTATGACAATATTGGGCGAGTCAAAGACGAGTCTAATATTTTGACTCGCCCAATATTGTCTTAGCAAGAGTAATATATTCCTCTATCACACAAAAACAAAGACATACAATATTATTATTATCTATATTAGTCTGACTAGTGAAATAACAAAATTTGACTTAACTCAGTAAATATGGCTTTTTTTCCTTGAGATATCGATATTGGTAGTTTAAGTTCCCGGATGACTGAGCAATACGAAAACAACATTGGTCAGTCATCCAAAGATATGGATTTCACTGATTTATTGTACCACTTGGAAGTCTTATATAGAAAATAATTGGTTGTTTTGTTTTGATTTGTAGGCTTTGATTGAGCTCGAGTCCAACTCAGAACTCAAAGGACAGTTGAGGGAGCTCTTCATCACAGGAGCAAAGGTAAGAAAAAGTGGTAGCAGAAGAAGTGGTGGTAGGGAAGGGGAAAGGGATGTGGTGGTGGGGGAGGGGGGGGGGGGGTTAGTGATGGTGGTGGTGGTAAAGGTGCTGATAGGGGAGGTGGTGGTGGTGGTTACTGGTATTGGTTGTGCAGGGGTGATGGTGGTGGTGGTGGTGGTGGTGGTGGCCGGTGGTGGTAAAGGTGCTGATTGTGGGGGTGGTGGTGGTGGTTACTGGGTTTGGTTGTTTAGGGTTGGCGGCGGTGGTGGGAGTGATGGTTTAGTAGTGACATTTTTCATACTCCAATTGAGATACTGCAGTTGAGATGCTTTCGATTAATAGTAATGATAATAAATCTGGATATATATATAGGGCTTGATACTGAATACCCTTTGTAAGCACTTTACTGATATTATTACCCCAGTTATTGGGATTCATTCAAGCACACAGTGTGTACTATTTCCACTCCCTGGGGATTATTCCTAATCATATGGTCACCGTAAGGGCGATGGCAAGTTCTATTACTTTTGTAGGCTTCTGTCATTGTACCGAGTCTTTTTACTTTCCTGGGTATGGAGTGGCAAATGTAGATCACTGCCTCGCAAAAGGACAGCCGTGCTGTGTCAGAGACTGAATCCATGACCTTTACATTTCCAGTCAAGTGCTTAACCGACCCGACTGTGACACCTCTATTAAATGTGCTACTTTCCTATTCAGTGTTTATCAGGAGATTGGTGTTGTTGACATTATTGCAAGAATGTTGTCAGTGTTCTGCTTTCTGTACCTTGAACCTTTGCTCAAATCCTTCTAGATTTAATACAGGTCTCTGAACCGCTCTATAATGATTCCTCCTACCCTTCTACTCCAATGTTTAATAGGAGATTGATGTTGTAATACAGGTCTGTGAATCGCTCTATAATGATTTCCCTACCCTTCTACTCCAATGTTTAAATTGATGTTGTAATACAGGTCTCTGAACCGCTCTATAATGATTTCCCCTACCCTTCTTCTACTCCAATGTTTAACAGGAGATTGATGTTGGTAACAGCAGGAAGGCTGTCATCGTCATGGTTCCCGTACCTCAACTCAAAGCTTTCCAGAAGATCCAGGTCAGGCTAGTCCGAGAGCTTGAGAAGAAGTTCAGCGGCAAGCATGTGCTCTTCATCGCTCAGGTAAAACATGAATGGTGAAAACATTCTTGATATTAAATCAAATAGGAAAATAAAGACAGTGCAGTAGGCAGTGCAGGAACTCACCAAAGAATGCGAGCTTAATTCAAGAATTTACTGAAATCCTAAAACTAAATTTTTAAATTAAAAAAAATAATTGGGGGGATACCAAGCACAACACTTGTTTCAAAGGGAAGTTCTTCCATTCAGTAGAAACTTATTTTCTCAAACAGAAGAGAAATTTAAAAGAATGTTTTTTCACCTCAATATCCATTACTGAATGTGGTCTGAAAGCAAAAAGGTATTTCTCTGTGTTTGCAATATGGTGCACCTCGTTTATCTTTGTGATGTCAACTATTTCCCATGAGGCAAGGCAAACTTCAGCCTGTCAGATATTGCACCCGATATGGCGCATTGTATTAGGAATTGTATTTCGCATGCTAACATTTCCTTCTTCATCTGAACCTTGACAGAGGAGAATCTTGCCCAAGCCAACAAGGAAGTCTCGCAACAAGAGCAAGCAGAAGCGCCCTCGCAGCCGAACCTTGACCATGGTCCACGACAACATCCTGGAGGACCTCGTCTACCCATCAGAGATCGTGGGAAAGCGTACTCACATCAAGCTGGACGGCAGCAGGAACATCAAGGTCCATCTCGACGTTGGACAGAAGACACAGATTGAGCACAAGGTTGGTGAATCCTCTATTCCCGTGTCGAGGGGTCAGTGATACAAAGACGTAACTCCATGTTGGCCATTTTGAGAAAAAGTGGTTTATGTGTCACTAAGCACTTGGGCCTTAAGGAGTTTACTCTGTTTCACTAGCCATTGACTTCCGTGGGGTGTTGTTTGGAGTTAAGTCCTTGTGTTTCCTGGAAAGCCCACATTTTGATGAACATTTTGATATCAAATACTCATTTTGGCAAAATATGGAGTTACGTTTTTGTGTCACCGAACCCTCCATATTGTAAAACCATATACGTTTATGTCTTGAAACCCCTCACAAATTGCAAAATTTGATGTGGTGAGAGTTGTAATACAATCATTTTGTGGCAGCAAATTTTATTGAGTCTAAAGATAAGTTTAAGCAGGTTCTGAGCTCTTACAAAATCAAGGGAAAGTAGCTTGAAATGATTCTGAATTGCACTAAAAGACATTCTGAAACTTCAGTACTGTTATTTTTTCATTTCATTCACTTCTTGATTTTGTCAAACGAATCATCTCTTCTGATTCAGAATGGTTTATTGTGTAGTATATGGGTTGTTCTCAATCAAACAAAGAACGAAAACCTGCAGAAAATGTATTTTGGATCAGCTACCTGATGTAGTAATGATAAAGAGGCTCTAAATAATAATTCTCATATGCCGTTGCATGTGCATGAATTAAAGGGATCTGGAAACTTTGTCTCAGATTCTGAAACAAATCCTGGATTTAGCTCATGCTGCAATGATAATTATAAACCTTAAGGTCAGTCAGGAACCGATCGCCTGTCTGATTATCAAGATATTTATGATTGGAAATCAAAACCAAATCTTGCGTTTTCTTAACTCTACAGTCCATTGGGGAAAACGAGTATGGTAAAACAGGTCACTCGAAGATTTTTACTTTTTTGAGGCACTTCTTGATCTTTTTTAAGCGCAATTTTTGTAGGGCTTCAATATTACACCATATCACAGACACTGATAACACGTAGAGCCGTGCATCTCAGATTTAGCATGGTTAAACGATGCCTTTAAGATTATCACTTTAATTGACGCAGAAAAGTGAAAGTAGTGGTCGATTCCTCTCGGCTGTGAGCAAAAAACGGACTAAAGATGACCAATACTCTCTCGTCTGAGCTAATTCCTGTAACTGATTTCATTATTGTGATATTCTGTTTGTCCTTTCAGACGGAGACCTACGGTGCCGTATACAAGAAACTGACCGGAAAGGACGTCACCTTTGAGTTCCCAGAATTCACAGTTTGAGCAGGCTGGCCAGGATTAACTTTGTACAAAGCCACGAGGGAATGATCAGAACACTGTCGCATATGGAATAAAATCAGGGCCGGAAATTCGGCAAACAAACATCAATGTTCTTTCTAGTTTTTGTTCTCTACCTGTCCGTATATGCTTGTATTATCAATGCGAGGGATTAAAAGAGGATTTATTACCCAGAGGTATTGGCCCATTTTAGGAAAAGATGCTGATATTCACATTTTGAAAATAAAAATACATGTAGGTGTTTACCATACACACAAAAATAAGTGCATAGCTTTTGTTAAAAAACCCTTTCAATTTTCGTTCTTATAGTGGAACCTTCATAAAAAGAACTGTTCTAACAAATTTTTCTTTCAAGAAAAGTATTCCAGTCCCAGTCCATCTATCCTATTGATTTTATCCCAGGTAAAACAAGATATTTGTATGATCCAAGGAAGGTTGTTACATGTTTGATGATTTGTCAACATGCCTACTGAATTGTCCTGTCCCCAGAGGCCCGAATTCACAAGAGGTTTAATTTAAACCCATGGTTTAAATCTTCATTTACATACCCAGGGTCCGAAATTAGCGCAAGGCAAGCGCGACACAGTCATTTATTAGACGCGCTAGGCAAGGTACTCTTATTTTGTGCTAATTTTCAAACCATGGGTTATGTAAATGAGGGTTTAAACTATGGATCAAGTTAAACCTCCTTTGTGAATTTGGGCCATAGGGTTTAAAACCACCCGATTTCCAAGTCGCCTTTCCATCACATGTAATTGACTAGTACATGTTAACTTTTTAGAGAGAGGCAGGGAGGAGGGAGGGAGAGAAATGTACAGTGGATGTGTGTCAAACTACTTGGTACCAATAAATTCCCTTTGTGTTATACTAAAGCCTTTTTTTTTACATCAGGGCAACCTTCCTCCCCCCCCCCCAAAAAAAAAAAAAAAACAAACAAAAAACAAACACAACAACAACAACAACAAACAAACAATGAAATGCCAAGAATTGAGGGCCAGCAAATCAGCAGTACACATTTATCATGTTATAAGAAGAGTGAAGTAAGAGTATGACGATTGTGATCTTTAAAAAGGGGTATCACTGTAATTTATTATGAGAGAGAAAGAGATGCATGTACATACATTGTATATCTTGTTGTTAGAGAGAGAGAGAGAGAGAATATGCAACTTTAACAAGAGATGTACCCTTGTTGAAAGAAGTGAAAAAATGAAATACAGTTAACTCTGCACAAGTTGAATTTTGTTAAAGGTTACACAAATAGTTTGACTTCAAGTTGTGCAGAGTTAACTGTGGCTTGCTTTGAGAGATTGTGCTTGTGAGAAGAGACCAAAAAATGAAGAAAATGGATATTAATAACATTTCAGTATTTATAATCAAATGGGAGAGATGCTCAAAAAGGCCATCTTCTGATTCATGTCATCAGAATTTCTCAAAACTTTCAATCGTCCGTTCTTTTTTCTGCTCTGATATTCAGGGCTCTCCACTGACAGTTTTTTTTTTTTTTTTTTTGGGGGGGGGGGGGGGGGGGGGGGGAGGAATGAGGTCTGGATTGAGCTCTTTAGAGTGTACACGTATGAACCCTATGCTTAAATCTTTAAATGTGTCTGTAGGGCACCAGTTAGTATTGAGCTCTAAAGTATAGATAAACCCAAGTTAATATTAGATGAGGTGGGGAATACATCGAGGGTTCAGTGACACAAATATTTTGCAAAAATTGATATCAAAATGTTCATAAAAATGTGGGCTTTCCAGGAAACACAAAGACTTGACTTCAACCCACACCCCATTGAAGTCAATAGCTAGTGAAACAGACTCGACGTGCTCAGTGACACATAAACCACTTTTTCTCAAAATGGAGTTACGTCTTTGTGTCACCGACCCCTCGACATGTATATGTAGTTGTATAATCAAATAATAAGATTGCAATAAACGGAGGGTTAGAAAATAAAGACCGAAGAGAGATTCAAAGATGTCAGAAATAAAAGATTTTAATTTATTGTATGAAAAAAACAAATAAATAGGGTACATGGATGAATACAATCTACAGGCATGAGTTTGATGATGAACATGTTGCGATATGATTCTACAATGACAACATGCCTATAAAACAATTCTTGGCATACAAATCAAATTCTTGGCAATTGACATCTGCATTTGAGTGTGCAATACAAACGATACGTACATGTAATACTTTACACATGGCTACAAACAATTAATTATTAATATATCATCAAAGCCAAACACTTACATCTTAAAGGCCCACTGCACTACTTGCAGCTACTTGCGCCCTCTATATAACAGACAATGCCTAATCGGTGACCATTGCTCCCCGATGATCCTCTTTTTCTTATGTTAACGGAGAGCTGAGTTGATGAGATAACCACCTGTCCAGTGACCTTGCAGGGCAGTCTAATCCCTCCTATAAACTACGGCAGATAAGCTTTAAAGATATGTAAAGGTGAGTTCTGGTAAAAAAAAAAAAAATTCTCACAGAATCAAACATGTTCAAAATTACAAATAAATGTCAATTGCCGAACAATTTTGGTAGAAAATGTATACTGGCTGAGTAATGAGCAGAGAAAGATTAGGATATCAAGGTTAGTAGCCCCCCCCCCCCCCCCAACACCTTTTGTGTAATCCCATATACAGCTTTCTGTGTACAGTGCTTGTTACTTTACCAAGACTGGGCCAAATTTATTATGATTTTAATGACTCCAGAACTTTGCAGTACACACCAATACTTACATGCTACATGATCAACTTTTTCTGATCCATTCCACACCTTTTCTTTCACAATGCAATCGGATGACCAGAACTCACCTTTATCTTTAATATTAACATAACAAAATCAGGAAGAAGGATTGCAACGTCAGCTCAGCTTGAAGACGTGGCAATCCTGTATAAAATTTAATAATTCTTTATACAAAAATGATGTTGGGGATGGGATTAAATGAAAAGATGAAAGGAGGAGATGGTTAATAGAGTGATATGATATAAGACAATTCAGACCCTCGATCATAATATTTTAAATTTTAAATAATTGAATATTCACATAAAATGCTATTAAAGGTACTATGTCCCATTTGCCGGCCAAAAAAATGAAAAAGTTAAATTCCAACTGCATTTGAAAGATAATACTAATTTAGAACTTCCCTAAAAAAGGTTGGGCTTGAAAATGTCTTCAAGTGGGAAAATAACGACTATTAGTTGTCAAATCGACTTTAGGGCTATAGAGCCCAAAAGTAATAGTCTTGATTTTCAGACAATTGTACCGAATGGTCATACGTTTTATGCTGCGCAAAGAATCAATCAGTTTAATCTTGGCCATCACAAGAAGTGGGTTATTGATGTAGACAAATGCTCATGTACCCTTTACAACTCTTTTCATGTATGTTATTACCAAAGAAGAAAACTAGATGGAATTTTTACTGCGTGCAGTCGAAAATGATATGCCTCCGCCATAGAGCAATTTAAACAAGTTTGGAGTTAAAATCTCCAGTGGTTCTTGATCGAGATATCATGATAACAATCTCAATGTATGGAATTTCATAAGTTGACCTCTGTGACCCTTGACCTTTGACCTACGTGCTCCAAAATCTACTCAGATTGTCTTCCTATGGTGATACACACTATCATTAAGTTTGAAGTTTAAATCTCCAGTGGTTCTTGAGATATTATGATATGGTGATACATACTATCATTAAGTTTGAAGTGAAAATTCTCCAGTGGTTCTTGAGATATCGCGATAAAGATCTCAATGTATGGAATTTCATAAGTTGACCTCTGTGACCCTTGACCTTTGACCTACGTGCTCCGAAATCTAATCAGATTGTCTTCCTATGGTGATACACACTATCATTACGTTTGAAGTTTAAATCTCCAGTGGTTCTTGAGATATTATGATAACAATCTCAATGTATGGAATTTCATAAGTTGACCTCTGCGACCCTTGACCTTTGACCTACGTGCTCCAAAATCTAATCAGATCGTCTTCCTATGGTGATACATACTATCCTTAAGTTTGAAGTTTTTACATCTCCAGTGGTTCTTGAGATATCATGATAACAATCTCAATGTATGGAATTTCATAAGTTGACATCTATGACCCTTGAACTTTGACCTACGTGCTCCAAAATGTAATCAGATTGTTTTCCTATAGTGATACACACTATCACTAAGTTTGAAGTTTAAATCTCCAGTGGTTCTTGAGATATCATGATAACAATCTCAATGTATGGAATTTCATAAGTTGACCTCTGTGACCCTTGACCTTTGACATACGTGCTCCAAAATCTAATCAGATCGTCTTCCTATGGTGATACATACTATCCTTAAGTTTGAAGTTTAAATCTCAAATGGTTCTTGAGATATCGCGCTAACAAACTCAATGTATGGAATTTCATAAGTTGACCTCTGTGACCTGTGACCTTTGACCTACGTACTCCAAAATCTAATCAGATCGTCTTCCTATGGTGATAAATACTATTCCCGAGTCTTAAGTTTAAATCTTAAATGGTTCTTGAGATATTGTGATAACGGTCAAACGGGACGGACGTACGGGCGGACAACCCGAAAACATGATGCCTCCGGCACCACCTTCGGTGGCGGAGGCATAAAAAGCCAGTCAGTCACTCAATAGTGTCCGACAGTGACGTCTAGCAAGTAAACGGGTTTCCTTGCATAATTTGAATATAAGGACACTGCTAACGTTTAAATTTCACAGATAGGACATACATGACATATTCATAATTCCTGCAAAGTTCTACAGCATTTAAGGTTGGCTGCAAAAGGGACATAGTACCTTTAAAGGTAATACAAAGTTTTGGAAAATTTTGAAAATTGGCTGGATAAAGATTCTCTACAATTTTGAAACATTTGGATGCCCCTGCCTGTGGATGTATCATAAGCACTAACAAAAATTAGCCCCTAAAACACTTCTGCTTCTGAGAAAAAGTGAATATCAAAATTTACCAGTGCTCCCGGTAAATTTTGATAATTTTCAAATGGTGCCTACAGCCATACAACCGTCATATCACCTGAAATGCCTACCTACGGGTATTCAAGATTCAAAACATTTCGAGAAAATAATTCCAGAACTTAGAAGTACTTAGAATTCACCACGACAATTGAAAGCTAACAAAAAATTAATCTAGATGGTTAGAACATACGTCTCATATCTAAACTTTACTGGGAGCAGACAGCTGCCATCAAAATTAACAATGAAATTACGGGTTGCACAAAAATCAAAAGAGGAGTACGTCAGGGATGTGTAATGTCTCCATCTCTGTTCAACTTGTGCAAAGAGTGTTTTTTCAGGGAAATTTCAGATATGAAAGGTATTAGTATTGGGGGTGTCAATATTAATAATTTACGTTATGCTGGTGACACTGTACTTAGCGCAGAAAATGAAGCAGATTTACAACATGTATTGGATATTGTAAAAGTCAAAAGTGAAGAGTTTGGTCTATTATGTCAAGAAAACTAAGTCAATGAATTTTAGTAGAACAGAGAATAAGCCTAGAATATGTTTGTAACTCAATGGACATATCATTGAGCAGGTCAATAATTACATCTACTTAGGACAAAATATCACAGATGATGCCAGATGCGAAGCAGATATAAAAAGAACAATAGAAATTGCTCGGAATACATTTCTGGCAATGAAAGAATTATTCACAAATAGAAAGGTGAAATTTGCGCTTAGGTTGAGACTAGTAAACTGTTATATATGGTCCGTCCTATTGTATGGAGCAGAAACATGGACAATAAGCAAGGCCATGAAAATAGAATAACATCTTTATAAATGTGGATTTACAGAAGAATGATGAAAATATCCTGGAAACGAATGAAAACCAACAAAGAGATATTGCACATGGCAGGGCGTAAACAAATTGCACTAGTAGGATTAGTTAAGGAGAGAAAAATCAAATACTTTGGTCATATCAAAAGGCACTGAAGTCTCTTAAAGGATATATTGGAAGGAAGAGTGGAAGGAAGTAGACTGAGAGGGAGACCCAGAATCAACTGGGAAGAGAATGTCAAGAACTGGAGTGGACTAAAACTGCAAGATTGCACCAGAATGGCAGAAGACGAAATGGAGAGATGTTGCAATCAACCTCCGAACTGGGAGAAGATACTTAGATAGATAAATAGATATATAGAAGTACGCTTTATGATCAACACAAAAGTTATCTACAATATTGTACTTTTTCTTATTCTACCATTTTGAGAAAACAGATTGTTTCCACAAGTACTCATGATCAATTCTACGTTTCCTATACTATAATCACTCTATCTACCATAATACTGCGGTGCTGGTGAAAGTCCCGTGAATCTTGACCTAAGTAGGTGTAGACGTGTGGTGAATCTGCACCTAATATTTCTAGCGGCGAGGGGCATTTGGATCTAATAAATTATTTGAAAGAGCGAATTTCGACTTCCGACACTTGTTGTTTACGGCGTCTCGGATTTGCTTCTGGAGTGCTGGCGATTGTGCCCCAGAAAACTGAGCCTCGGCTTGGGAAACGATGGCAATGAATCGGCTGTCTCTCCTCAGGGCTGTCTTGGTGATGGTCTTCCCGCCGGACACCACCTCACCACCGTTGAAATTACTGGCAGCTAGCTCTGCATATGTGAAGTGCACACTCAGAAGGCTGAGAACCAGGTCTTTTGGTGTAGAGGCTGCCTCCCAGCACTTCATGTAGTCCGCCTTGTCCATTTCCAATCGCGACTCTGCAGACCCGATGAAGATCTTAGAATTTGTACCAAACACCGGTGTGTAGACGGGCGGGCACTTCTCCTTCACACCGGACAGCGTGCGCACCTCCTCCCTAAGCTGCTGGACCTCTCGCACCAGGGTACCCTGCTGCTCCTGTAGTTCCGTCAACTTTGAGGAGAGCTGGAGGATCAACGATTCCAGATGCCCTTCTGGTGGTTGAGCTTCGGAGATATGTGTGGAGGAACTTGGCTGGTGAAGCTCAGGCTGGTGGTCGATGGGGTGTTGGGATTGGGAGGGTGCAGCCTGACCAAGATCTGTGAATTGGGGCGCGGATTGGGGACTCTGAAGCTCTTTGGCGGGTCGGGTCGTAGGCTGGTGAGCGTGGTCTGGTGTGGACTGGTGCCCCTGAAGCTCTTCGGCGGGTTTGTTCGTAGGCTGGTGAGCGTGGTCGGGTGTGGGCTGGTGCCTCTGAAGCTCTTCGGCGGGTCGGGTCGTAGGCTGCCGAGGCTCTGTGTGGTAGGGTGCCGGTTGGGGCCTCTCAAGCTCTTTGGTGGGTCGGGTCGTAGGCTGCCGAAGCCATTGGTGGTAGGGTGCCGGTTGGGGCTTTTCAAGCTCTTTGGCGGGCCTGGTCTTAAGCCATGCATGGTAGGGTGCCGGTTGGGGCCTCTCAAGCTCTTTGGCGGGTCGGGTCGTAGGCTGGCGTGCATGGTAAGGTGCGCGCCTGTGCCTCTGAAGCTCTTCAGTGCGTCGGGATGTGGGCTGCCAAAGCTCTGGGATGCCACGCAATTGCAACTATAGGTAGGAGATAGGAAGAAAGAAGACACTCATCGTTAAAAAGATGATAATAAACAGGGGAAAATAATGAAAAATAAAAAGTTAGACAGAGCAAGAAATGAAAAAACATGGGAAAAATCAGCAGGAGGTGGACAATTAATATATTGAGGGCAAGAGAGGGATAGATAAGGGCGGTAGAGAGATGGCTATACAAAAGGAAAATTTTTAAATTAATTAAGGGTAACGGTAATGACGATAACTACCTCGCACTCGTCTTTGCTGGGCAACTCGGGTGTTTTCTCCTCCTGCTGTTGGTAAAGGGTTGTCTCCTCTTCCGGTTGTTGGACTTGCACCCGCTGTTTCTCTGTTAAGATTAAAAGACAAGATGAGATAATATGTATAAGACAATCGCAAATATTAGGAATTCGTTAATCGTGATATACCTAAAAAATACAAAGGTACAAATAACTATATATGATCAATACTCACTTGTTGGAGGTACACAAGCTTGGTTTTGCGAACGCTTGGAGCCCATGTGCACCACCATCCCGACACGAGGCTCTTCATCGTAGTTGATGCGGCTCCTGACGATGGTCTCCACCGTTCCTTGATGTCTGCTGTCAAGCCGCTCTTCGGTGATGGTCGCCGTCTTGTAGCCTTGAGTATGGAATAATTATGAAAATATGTTGTTTGATAATATCGAAAGAATATTTGGTTGGAATTCCAAATTTCATCTGTATTTATACATTTTGTGTTTGTATTTTGTATTTATCAGGTGGGCTGTATCTAATACAGACCACCTTATATTTTTGTTAAAATCGCCTTTATTATTTTTATTTATTTATTATTTATTTATTTATTTTTCATATTTCGACCCACTTTTTTGTTAGCATGATAACTTTGTAATGGTTCAATCAAATACTTTGATATTTGGCACACATATGTATAGGCATATGGACATAACACAGTAAGGTTTTCAAACTTGACCTTGACTGATGACGTCATCTAGGCGCCATTTTGTGAATTTTTCTGAAAATAAACTCTTGATCATATCTTCATAACCAAAAGTTATTTCTCATTCATATTTATCATGATTAAGGTCAATATCAGTCCGGTCAATTTCAGATAAAAAAAACATGCGCGTGCGCGTATGTCCGCGCGTCAGTACGCGCGCAAAATTTTATAATGCTCAAAATCGTCTCAAATTTTTTTTGCATACGTTTCAGGTAATTTTAAGCATTTATTAAAAAATCGCGCACACGAGCATGCGCGCGCGTTTTCGCGCGTAACACCATTACAAAACATAGAATCGCCATTCTTTTTTCTTTTATGATATTTCTCATATTTTTTTCGAGGAATTTGATACCATGTTTATCTCTTTATGACCATTAATAACAAGATGAGCGTCAATTCAAGATAAATGTCCGTGCGCGCGAGCTCTTTAATACATAGCATATATGGGCAAAAACATGCCTATACAAAATCCATTATAGCTCTTTGGAATGAACCGTGACCTTCAATTTTTTTTCATTTTTAGATAAAGTATGAGTCGGAGATATGATTCCATGTCTTATTTTGCCATTAAGTGTATCGTGACATCATCATAATGGTCTTGGAACTCAAAATACGAATTTGCAAATTATGAAGTCAGCATATTTATGTAAAATTGATTGTATCTCTGTATATATTGATTGATTTTCTTCAAAATTTCGATATGTTGTAGCTAAGATAATTTTCTACAAGTTTAATGATAATTTTTTTTTATTTTGATGACGTCATCAGAGTGAAAATTTCGATTAAAGACCTCATGTCAGAAAGTTCACAATTTGCGTGTTATAACTATAGAAGGTGAATTTCGTTCACGTAATGAATCTACATGATATTGTTTATTAAGAATTCTAAAGCAGTTTCTCGCTTATTTTTGCTCTATTTTGTTTTCAAATTTTAGTTGACCAGCCCACCTATACTTGTTCCAAACAAGTATTATGTCTAGTTAACATTTCTTTCTTTCTCAACAGTACAATATGAAACACAATGTATAAATAAATTATATATACCGGTATGGAACAATTATTTCAACATAGAGTATACAGTAAATAGTTCAGATACGGAAGGAGGCGAAATCCCGGAAAGCATAGCTTGAGTTGGGATCGCCCATAATATGATTCAGTTTGCCAGAAATCAGAACCGGAAATCAGGAACACAGTTTGCTATTGGCTGTTGTCAATTGGGCAATTAACCAATAAACTTGTTATTGGCTGTACCAATTAACTTGCGTCCCATTGAAATCGTTAGTCCGTGTTTTGCAGTCGTAAATCTCCTGGACCGGGCGCAATTATTTTGAAAGCGCATCCCTTTCGTGAATGGGTACAACTTTCTCGACATAAAATGCTGGGACAACGGCACTATTGTTTAAAGGTGCGAAGCAATGAGGTCAAAGATCAAAGGATCATATATGCATATGAAAAATAGCATGTTATCACAATATTCTGAGAACCTGTTAATGAATTACAATCAAACTTGAATTTCAAAAATTGCTTCTGTTTTGGTTTGTGAAATCACTCTATGACTGTACGTAGTTGAAGATCCATCTAGCTTTAAATATTTGATTTACCACCCTGAGTGCTATTGTACAATAGAATCATATTGATAAACTTCATGATACCTTGATCAGTTGATGGGTCTTGTACTTCTGTACTTGAGAGGATCTCAAACATGTCTGTGCTAACTTCTTGTTTGAGAGTGAAGACCATACCTGTTATGAGCAAAGTAAAGATATTTTCATATTATCTGAGAAGTAAACTTTGATCTGGTTACCTATTATTGGCTACAAAGAGAAGAATGAATTTTATAACCAAATAAAATATGATATGCCAATAACTCACAATAATGAATGTCATTGTATGAAATGGAGGGAAAAGAACATTGAAAGACATCTATAGATTTATGCAATAAGACTTATAATAAGGATATTTTCAGTTTTTGATTGCACTTTGCCCCAAGGATGCATCCTCCCTATTCACAACAAACATTCACATTTTCTGGTTGGTTCAAACAATTTAAGCTTTGATTCTCCTTTTTAAGGGATATTCAACCCTGATAGCAAACTACTCGAAAAGAAGGCAGAAAAATCTGAGGAGCAGACGGTTCAAAGTTTGAACAAAATTGAACAAAAAATAATAAAGTTATGAAGTCTGAAAATTTTTGATTATTTTTTAAACATATGGGCACTAGGAATTGGCTGAATCTGTTAAGTCATTATGACGAACTGCTGGACAACTTTCCCATTTGTTCCAACACACAAAATGACTAAAACATCCTTTAAAAAAATCCATGTTTCAGGAGCGTCTTTTTTTTTTTAGAGAACCTTTAATAATATGTTATACACATATGTTTTTAGTAGTGCCCCAAGCAAGAAGGAGCTTAAGAGAAAAACAGACATTTATGATATTTTTTTACACGACAAACTGGTGAGTTATCTGAGACTAAGTCAATCTAGTAACCGAATCGCTGATTTTTAGATTTGCATAGACTTAGTGATATCATATTTCAAACACTCATAACTTTCTTATTTTTTGTAAGATTTTGTTTTAAATTTCACCAATCCATTTGTCCAACTGTCTGCTTTCTGTCAGAGCGATTTGCCCTCAATGTTTGATTTTACGTGTATAGCATACCGTCTTGAGTTAAAACAAGCTGACCCTCATCTCTCAAACCATCTGAACCTGGAATGGCAAGACACCTCTCCTTCTCAACTTCTCCTTCCCTCTTAATGCAGATGTTTCCTGTACATGTAAATATATATAGAAATCATTAAAACTCTTGATCACTATAGCGTGTGAGTCAAAAAAAAGTTTACACCTAGAAAATTGCTAATTATTAAAAAAATCATCTATGAACAGTAAATTATTATACATTTTGTGAAAGTGTGTTTTATCCCAAGTCATTTGGTATCATTTTTATGTGGTATGTATTCACGATTGGATGAATAGGAGGCATTGTTTGCGAGAGTGCAAAAATCGACTTGCGCCAAAGTGTTGCCTACAGTACGTACATGTATTATGTTGGGATTAGCGGAATGAGAGAATGAATTGAATGTATCAAATGAAATGCAGTGCATATGCTTTTTGCAGAAGCAAAGTCACACACAAAAACACACACGCGCACACATGTTCGTTGATATTTGATATTCGATATTTGATGTGTGGCATGATTAATTTTGTTAAGGATGTTATTTGGACCTGCAAAAACCGAAATAATACCCAAATCCCAATTGTTTTATTCAAACATCACATAAGGAACGTTGGCGCAAGTCAATTTTTGCACTCTCGCAAACAATGCCTCCTATTCATCCAAGTGTGAGCACATACCACACAAAAATGGTACTTAATGATTCGGGATAAAACACTCTTTCATAAGATGTATAATAATTTACTGTTCATAGATGATTTTTAAAATAATTAGCAATTTTCTAGGTGTAAACTTTTTTTTTGACTCACTCTGTAGACTTATCATTTCTATAATATAGAGTGAAGTAGATACTTACTTGTTATTGATGAATATGGAAATTGCATTTTTGATTATTCATGTATACATCTGCTTAGACTTTAGAGGTTGTATTGGTGCAATAAAATAAACATTCTAGTGGAATGACTTGTTTTGAATAAATCTTACATATTTTTCTTCTTCATGATTTGATGTGTTAGGTGAGAGAATGAAGGTTGTATAACTTAAAGATGCATAGTGGTGGGCACCCACTGGATAATTTGACACCATTTGGGCGTTTACTCAATAGTAAATATTGTCAATCACCAGGATTAGCCTTCATTTTTATGACCAACAGGCCTTAATGTAATGATCAGCCTTTTCCACCCATCCTTATACGGTAGCCATTATCTTAGATTTCCCTCACCTGAAGTCTCTCTGTGAGACTAGGGCACGGGTGGCCAACCCCCGCGGCCCGCGAGCTCTTTTGGTGCGGCCTGCGGCTCATTGAAGAAGTAATTATAAAAATAGCTCATAAATGAATGCGACCCGCATGGCAGTGATGAACTACAGGGGTAAAACATTTACACAGAGCTATCTCTATTTCCATAATTTGTTTTCATCATTCTCAACATATTGACTCGTTACGTGGTTGATACAAAACTCTTCAAATTACATTAACATCACTCGCCGTGTTAATTTTAGTTTGTAATTTCCGCACGCAGTAACGTTTGTAAATTGTGTTGTGAATCAAGAAATACGTTTGAAAATTACAACCCTTTTCTCCCGCCGTTGAATTTTTTCATGATTTTTATCGTAAACTGGATAGTCCCCTTCCCTTTACACCCTTTCAATGAAAAAAAAATTCCACTGATTTTGTTGTTTGCTTGTTTTTTTTCTTCAAAATTGCAGGTGCAATATGGACATACAAGGTGTGCTGCTCTAATGGGCAACTTTTTCACAAAAAATCCCTAAACAAGGGTCCTACTTTTAACAAAAATACCATTAAAATTGGGTCTGTTTTTTCAAAATTTTCGGGTGTGTGTTGTTAGTTTGTTGTTTTTTTTTTTTGGGGGGGGGAGAAGACTATACCTACGGCCCGCCAAGTGATGCTAATCGTTAGCTGTGGCCCGCGAGCTTTAAAAGGTTGGCCTCCCCGTGGTCTATTGTTTAGCTCCTTTTTAAGGTTTTCAGAGTTTTTTCAGACTTGCAATTAGGTCTACTCTTCACAGCTTTGTAACTCTTATATGCAACGTTAAATTTACTGAGTGAAAACAAATTTCTTTCTCACAGCAAGTCAGCAACACAGTTGAAAACAAAAGAAATCACACTCACAGAGCAATTATTCTGAGATAGATGAGAGGGAGCATACTGAACTTATATTGTTATTAGTCATTAGCAACATTACCAAATACAGCACAACACATTGAAACACTCCATACCTTCATCATGTTCATGTGATGATTGAAGATCTCCCTCACCCTCTCCATGTGTACTTGAGAGAGACGTCCAACAATCAATTTCTTGCTTCATCGCCATGTTATATCTGTGTTTGAAACAATATTTGATAAAATGTTTTGATAAGGAGGTAATCTGTTTTGGAATTTTTTCTTGTTGGTATTTTAGCATTATGTACATGACATCTTTACTTTGTGAGAAAAGCTATCCTTTGGGGGGCAAGTGTATAATAATAGTTTGTTCTTATATATCCCTTTTTAGGACCATAGGCCCTCTCAAAGTGCTTTACCGATATATATTATTATGCACATTCTCCACTCCCTGGGGAGCATTCCAGCCAGGCGTCATTTTTACAAGCACACTTGCTCTTCTTTTAAACCACATTAACTTCCACATCCTACCGGGTACCCTGGGTGGAGATTAGCAAATAATAATGATAATAATAATATGTCTCGTTTACCCAGGGTAGCCTCATCAGTATTCATACTGTTCTCCCTGAGGGCCCTGCAATCATATTATTACCCCGGTCATCGGATTCAGGCTTACCCGCACACAATGTATGCACATTCTCCACTCCCTGGGGAGCATTCCAGCCAGGCATCATTTTTACAAGCGCACACTTGCCAATCTAAGCACATTAGCTTTCGCATCCTACCGGGTAGATCAATGCCTTGCCAAAGGACATTAGTGCAACGGCGGGACTTGAACCATGGACCTTGTGATCCACAGTCTGGTGACATATCAACTTGACAACAACACCTCTAATATAAAGTGTATAAAGTGTTCATTTTTTCTTACAGTATACATTTTTGAGTACTGATGGTATCTTGCGCAATCAGAACCCCTGCAGACAGCATATTAAGTGGACTTGTAGTGGTATGTTTTGTCCGTATGCTTGACTGCAATATTATTGCTTCACTTGTATGTCTTGTTTGAGATTTGGCTTTTTATAAACAGTTTGGAAGTGTTTAAAAGAATTATTAAAAAAAAAGATAATGGGTATTTCTGGTGGGGGAGAGTATAAGGATTGATTGTGTCAAGTTAACCGATATGATCGTGATTATACAGTAGGCTTGAGGGTGCACCATGTGAGAGAGAGGGAGGATTGAGGAGTCTCTCTCACATGGTGCACCCGCAAGTCTACTGTATATCTACATCACCATGCAAGCCGACACTTACAAGCAGCATCTATGATCGCGATTGTAATTGGGATCGGGTAGTTGTAGTTGTAGTTGTAAAATAGAGACTTCTCTGTGATATTCTTGCCATGGTTTTTGGAGGCCGTTGTTGCTGGATTAAATGACGTAATGAGCTGTTACTGTAACTACATTGTACGTTGGTCAAGCCAAGTCAAACCACATTTTTTATCTATGCATTTTGTATTAGACTGTCCGTTCTTGCTGTTAAATTTCATTCCTATTTTTTTCTATCATTTATATGAATTTTTGTTTTGTCGGAAATGTCTTCCAACTTGTCCTTCAACAAGATGAATGTCAGGCAGTATTGACATTGCCATGGAAGTAGCGCTTAAGTTAAGTCCCTCTCTCACTTAAATTCAAAACCACATTCTGTTGCAGCAATGCTTTCCCATTAATTATTCTTGCCTAAAACTCAGCGATTTTAAAGATCAAATGGATACAAAGAAAAAAAATCACATCTCGATCATCCTCAATTCAACTTTCAAGTTCGGAAACTGCCTCCATTGTTTCTTCTCATCTCTCAAAATATCGAAAACAATCACACTCACAGGGCATACGTATTGTAGTTAGTACTCACAGAGTGCAGCTGTTAAAGGTAATACAAAGTTTTGGGAAATTTTGAAATTTGGTGGATAGACTAGTGATTCTTTACAATTTTGATATATTTGGATGCCCCTGTGGATGTATTATAAGCGCTAGAAAATTTAGCCCCTAAAACAATCTGCTTTCGAGAAAAATTGAATATACAAATTTACCGGTGCTCCCGGTATATTTTGATAATTTTTTAAATAGCGCCTAGTCTACGGCCGTAGAATGGTAGTTGCGAACATGAAAATCTCAGACTATGTAGTAAGTTGTGATATATAATTTCTAGACGGGAATAGCTATTCGGTCGATTTTAGTCAAGAAACATTGTTTTATAGCATAATTAATATCTTCACCTTGAGAGGGAGCTATACAACATAAAGAGTTAATTATTTACAATTCCATAACTTTAGACTCGATTTCAAACGCGACAACGATCACTGAATATTGTAGGATCGCTTATGCTTCCATCATGTTCATTTGAACCAAATTCATAACCCCATACCAAAACTTTGTAATTGTATTCCCTTTAATGTAGGCCTACCGCGAGATCTTCGTTTGTCCAACACAAAGACCCCGTTCTCACTCACTTTGAAAGTGGTCTTAGTTAGACCGCTCCAGACCGCTCCAGAGGAACGGGTCTTGAGGAACGGTTTGCGAGCGTACACACTCCGAGCAGTTTTTATGGCTCAAACCGCTCCACGAGTCAAAGTGGTCTTGTTGCTATGGCAGCTCAGGTAGGCGGGTCAATTTGTTCGCGCGCGGAATACAAACCGTATGTACCGTACTACATGTTTCGCACGGAACGTCACTAGCTCACTTCCGCTCAAAGTACGCTTTCCGTTCACATTGCACGTTAGAGCGCTCTGGAGCGCTCTTAATAAGACCCGCTCCTCAAGACCACCTCGGAAGGTGGACTTCTGGAGCGGTCCAGAAGTCCGCTTCCTGGACCACTTTGAGCGTTCTCACTCACCTAAGAACCGCTCCTGAGGAGCGGGTCTTAGTTAGAGCGCTCCAGAGCGCTCCAACGAAGTGAGTGAGAACGGGGTCAAAGATTACGTAATGCGATTTCAAGGTCTGTGAATACATTACTACGAAACTGACCCTAGGCAGAGTCCGCGTCCGACACAGTCAACAATCATACAATGAGGCAATGACAACAATGACTGATACCGGGACAATTACCGGGACAATTAATTACCGGGACAATTACAAGTCAAGTGCTGTCCCAAATCATGGCTATAATGGCGTTACAAAAGTTTGAAAATCAGTTACTAGTATAGTAAAACATGGTGATAAATTACCTGTTAAAAAAAAGTGTTATTCAAAAGTTAAATCCACCTCAAATGTTGAAGCATCTCAGCTCAGACTGCTGCGCTCGAGCTCACAACGTAAGATCGACAATACACTCTCGATTAATGCTTTAGGCTACTTTTGGCGACCAATAAGCGCGACCAATAATGAAACGGGCGAAGTTAGCCCAGAAAACAATAGAATTCGCGCTATGGTGTCTTCAAAAACAAAAGGGAAATGAACGGGCAACATGAGTGATAAAGAGAAGACAAATTTGAAAAATAACTGAAACGTGGCATATAGCAGAACAAATAAGGCGCGGATCCATGGGGGCCAGCGGGCCCTGCCCCCCCCCCCCCGCAAAAAGAGAGAGAGAGAGAGAAAAGGGAGAAAGAGAGAAAAAGAGAAGGGAAAGGGAAAGAGGAGAGAAAGGGAAAGAAAGAAGAGGAAGAAAAAAGAAAAAGGGGAAAAGGAGGAGATCGGGGGGAGGGGGGGGGGGGGGAGACCGAAAGGGCCTAGCTAGCTAATTGCCTCCCAGCTGTTACCTACCCCCCCCCCCCGTCAAAAATTAAGAGAGAATGAAGGAAAGGGACAGAAAAGAAGAAAAGAGGAGATAAAGGGAAGGAAAAAAGAGGAAGAAGAGAAGAAAGAAGGGGGATATCAGTTGTAATTTTCCCGCCAACAAGTTGCCCTTGCCTCCCCCCACCCACCCACCCTGCCCAAATAAAGGGGGGGGGGTAGAAGGGACAGGAAAAGAGGAGAGCTAAATGGGAACAAAAGCAGGAAAAAGAAAAGAGGGGGGGGGGGGAACAGTTGCGATTACTGCCGCAAAAAAAACGTTTGTATCGAAGCTGGGGCCGAAATTAGGCCCTTGCCTCCCCCCATCAAGCTTCAAACATCAAAACAGAGAGAAGGAAGGGAAGGGAAAGGAAAAAAAAGAGAAAGAAAAAAGGTAGGGGGATCAGTTAAGATTTTTCCAAGGTGTAGATCGGGGGGGGGGGGGGGCACTAGCGTACTGATGGGGGAGGGGCTTGGTGCAGGCGCGGATCAAGGATTTTCCAATAGGGGGGGGGGGGCGGAAATTTGAAAATCGCGCAGACCGTTATTTCAACTCAACTTACCAATACTGACAAGGTCATAATAAGAGCACCGTACCGGTATATACAAGCGGGCACAATTTTGGAAAGGGGGCAGGCTCAAGTCACGTCTCTTGTCCGATATCAACATTCCTCGAGTTTAAGTTATGCGCGAGCAAGATTTTTGACATTTTCATCAGGTGGGGCGGGGCTAAATGCACTTGCTAAAATATTAATTTTCTGGGTTAACAATTTCGCGAGCGACCGAAGCAAGCGAGCGAAAAATTGAGCATAATGTTGTGAAAGTGTTAATCCGCATCACCACCACTGTTACATGCAGCGCTCAAAATACACGGGGGCGATGGGCGTTTCGCCCCCGTGAGCTCCATAATCGCCCCGTCAGGTTGCCCACGGGGGCGATTGCAAAATAAAAAATCGCCCCCGTGGAATTATAAAAAAAAAAGATTATCTTTTCTTATATAATTTTAACACAATATTGAGTATCAATTTTCAAACCTTAAACCAATGAAATGGAACTTAGATGGCGCTTTCCCTCCCATCTATTACCGATACAAACAACGGAAGCTCGCAGTGCACAGCTAATGCGGCCGTCATACTGCGCCGGTAGTACCGGTGTGCACGCTGACGCCCAATATCTGCTGGAGCTGGAGAAGGACTGAAACATGGAGAAGTTTTTCGTTGTGAAAAGTAATCCTCTGAAATCTGGTTGTTCTAAAAGACCAGCAAATAATGTAACTCGACCAATAAATCAATATTGAGAAGAAGATCAGCAAAGATGTTGCAGGGGCGGATCTAGGCGGTTTTAGGGGGTTTAATCCCCCGATCCCCCTTGGGCTGCCAAGTGAAAATGTGATGTGCATAGACCTACACAGTAGTAGTAGATTTCAGTAGATGCCAGGAAAACATCACTAACGGGGGTTCAAAATAGCACCAAAAAATCGCCTCGCCGCTTCGCAGCTCGTGGACGATGCTCCGCATGTTAGTAGATGCCAGGAAAACATCACTTACGCATGTACGAGGGTTCAAAATAGCAACAACAAAAATCGCCTCGCCGCTATGCGGCTAATGGACGATGCTCCACATCGTATTTGGTTTACCCCCCCCCCCCCCACCCTTAATTAGCAAAAAGCTAGATCCGCCCCTGTGTTTTGGAAGGATATGGTAAAGACTAAAAGTAAAGAAAGATTGTAAATAAGGTTGCTCCGAATAATCAGGAGGACATTATGTGCAGAACGGGAAGAAATAGAGAGAATGTCATCACGGGCAGGCGCGGATCCAGGATTTCTTAGGTGGGGGGGGGGGGGGGGGGGAATTTGAAATTATGCGAGCCAAATATTGGTACCTAATGGTGACCAGCATTGACGTAATGGGGGGGGGGGGGTGTGCAGGGAGGGGCGATTTTCCCACTCCCTCCTCCGCAAAGCGCCGAAGCTTTGACGTTTCATTAAATCATTATAGTGAAAGAAGGCGATTCGTTGCCCGTTCTCGACTCATAAACTTCGTCTGAATCCAGTTTCCCCCTCGAGCGCGATATGCGGAAGCTTTGACATTCCATTGAATTATTAGAGAAATAAGACGTTTCGTTGTACCGTTCTCGAAAATAATACTCTTCCGAATTCATTTGCCCCCCCCCCCCCCCCCCCCCCCCCCGTCCGCGCGAAGCGCGGAAGCTTTGACGTTTCATTAAATCATTAGAGAACTTGGAAGACGATTCGTTTTACCGTTCTCGACTCTTAATCCTTGTCTGAAGCCAGCCCCACCCCCTCTTGCACAAAACGCGCGGAAGCTTTGACGTTTCATTAAAGTATTAGAGAAAGCAGACGATTCGCTGTACCATTCTCGATTCTTAATTCTTGTCTGAATTCGGTTCCACCCCCCTCCAGCGCGAAGCACGAAAGCTTTGACGTTTCATTAAAATTATTAAAGAAAGAAGACGATTCGCTGTACCGTTCTCGACTCGGCTCAAGGGTTTTAGGCACTAAATTACGGTCAGCTGAGTATCAAGGGGCCCGCCTTAGAGCCCTCGGTTGGGTCCAGGGCCAGAGCCCCGGAAGCTCAGGGATTTTAGGCGTTATATTACGGTTAATGCCTTATTTTGTTGTGACACTGGCAGTTAACTATTTTTTCTTACTTGCTCTCTTTCTTTCCATTTCTCTTTATATACTATTTCAAAAAAAGTGGAGGGGGGGGAGGGACCTCAAGGCTCCGATCCCCGCCGTTCCGCGGGCCCTGATGTGTAGGCCCCTAAACATCTCAAGAAGCATATTTCTTGCCTGGCTGTAAATTTAGGAATTTAACAAACAACAAACGCATAAAAAAGTATCATTTACTAAATAATCTCGGAAAATTATGTCACTTCAGCATTATTGTGTAAACCACCGTTATGGAATTAGAAATAAACCACGTTTATCAGTATGCCAGTGCCCCCCCCCCTGATTAATTTTACACTTTGTTGGCAACTGATCTCCCCTACGTTTTTTCTTTCTCTTTTTTTTTCTTTTCCTTTCTCTCTTCTTTCCCTTTCCTTTCCCTTCCTTCTCTCTCTTTTAGGTTTTCTATCTCCCTTCTTTTGACCTTTTTTTTTCTTCTTCCTCTCTTTTGGTCCCTTTTAGCTCTCCTTTTTTCATTTTCCTTCCTTCTCTCTTTTTTTAGCGGGGGCGGGGGGAGGCAAAGGCCTTTTGCTCCACCTCCATCCCGATCTGCAACTTGTTGGCGGGAAAATTGCAACTGATATCCCCCTTCTTTTATTTACTTCTTTTTTCAATTTTCCTTCCCTTTATTTCCTCTTTAGTGACTGGCCCCTCAGAAACTAGTACTAAGCCAGTCACAGAGAATTCATGATTTCAACTGATGCCTGTCAGTGCATTGTAAATTTGATTTTTCTTCAAACTTCATTTAAAAATCTTTTCATATTGATAAATATGGTGCATTGGCGTATGGGCTATGGTTGGAGCGTTGGATGCGTTGAACAGCGTTGGTGTATTATGTGGATTTATCATATTCATATTCTAAATATTTTCAGCGAATTGAATAATATTGAAAAGGATGCAATTCATAGTTGTACTCGATAATTCTCACTTAACATATTCTCTCTCTCTCTCTCTTCCTGTCTTGCATAAAGAAAATATGAAAATAATATTTTTCCTTGATTAAGAAAAATTGAAATTTTATCAGTATTAAACAGGGAGAAGGAAAGGGGAGGAAATTAATCGAAACAAACATTGAAGAATCCAATTCAGTGTTCTTTCGTGATGCATAAGAATGAAAGTACATTAAAAGGTGAAATAATAAATTGAGGAGCGATGATAAATCAATTCTTTGACGTTGATTGATTGAATAAAAAATAATGAAACAATATGGCCTGAAGGTCATATATCTTCGAATATTAGAAAGTTTCATCCACCATCGTGTTGTTGAACATTATTTACAATTTCATTCTAATGCGGTGACTTGTCGGTTACGAGCAGAAGGTCATTTCAGGCTTCTATATTCAACATATATCTGGATAGAGACACCTCGTCACATCAAGCTACGAGAAAGTAGGTCATCATCTCACAGAATTCTACTCGAACACCGCATCGAAATTCTTTTCACCCTTTTTTTCTTATTCCTCTTTTTTGGTCCCTTTTAGCTCTCCTTTTTTCATTTTCCTTCCTTCTCTCTTTTTTTTAGCGGGGGCGGGGGGAGGCAAAGGCCTTTTGCCCCACCTCCATCCCGATCTGCAACTTGTTGGCGGGAAAATTGCAACTGATATCCCCCTTCTTTTATTTACTTCTTTTTTTCAATTTTCCTTCCCTTTATTTCCTCTTTAGTGACTGGCCCCTCAGAAACTAGTACTAAGCCAGTCACAGAGAATTCATGATTTCAACTGATGCCTGTCAGTGCATTGTAAATTTGATTTTTCTTCAAATTTCATTTAAAAATCTTTTCATATTGATAAATATGGTGCATTGGCGTATGGGCTATGGTTGGAGCATTGGATGCGTTGAACAGCGTTGGTGTATTATGTGGAT